AGAGCAAAGTCTCCAACCCCGAAGCCAAGCTCATGGTACTTCCATGGATCCCATGACCAAAATCCGATGTATCTACCGCTAAAACATGGAAATTTACACTGGCACACTTTTTTTTTTTTTTTTCTTTTTTTTGAAGAACCCACCTGTAGTCCGCCATGTGCTCACCACGCTGGGTGGGTCGCGTTCGAAAAAATCGCACCACATTAAAAACATGTTTGAACGCGTTTGAAGGCATCCTGCGCCCGTTTGAACGCGCGAGTTTGAACAGCGCGTTTAAACTGTTACATAGCCATGGGCTCTTCCTACCAATTATCCCTAGATACACATCGCCACGGTAAGGCCCCAAGAACTGCTTTTCTCCCACTATTAAAGACGTTGGCAGTGAAGTGTTACAAATGACCACACAGAATTGCTTTCCAGTCCCATAGCCAATTGCAGTCTGTCCCAAGCCATCCCCAACTTCTCTCCCACCATCTCCAGATCGGAACAGCTCCCAGGTATTGCAGGAATAGTAGGCCCAATTTCATTGCACCTACAATTACCATACAGATATCCTTTCAAACAAGCCTTCCACAAGGGAATAGACCAGCTTTTCTGCTCCAGGTGCATCTCATCAGTCGTTGCGAAGCTCTAAATCAGTGTGCTGGACAAATTCCGCTCTTGTACCTCTCAGCTTCGCGAAATTGATGGCTTCATTTCCTTCCATCTTAGCTCAAACCCAGCCATGCCTTACTTGAGAGTAGGTGATTCAGACTCTTTTTCAGAGTACCCTGTCAGAGGTAGGGAGCATGATGCTGGGTCGGGCAGAATGATCTGAATTCCACCCAATGATTATTAAAAACTATGGCCAGCCCCACATTGATACTTCTGAAGAGTTCCACCTTACAGAACAGAAAATTTGAGCAAAACGAAAAGAAAAAGAAGAACCAACCATCCATCCATCCATCCATAGCAAACACTGGCATCGTGGAATTGTGGAATAACTGTGGTTTTGGTTAGTGCCAATGGATGATTCCCTCTTTGGTAATAAGCTGTTAAGAAAAATAAAGAGCTAGTACATGATGCATTGGAGAAGAGTATCACAGATCATGTTCTTCATGTCTTTTTCTTTTCTTTCTGGGTTGTGAGATGAGAGCTGCGAGGCAGGGAATTTCAAAGGCAGAATTTAAAAGAGATCTGAAGTCTGTGAACAAAACAAATTTAACAATGATGTTGCATCCTCAACATTTTGTCAGTGGTTGATGTCCCAACGCATAAACCATTGATACCATAGCATCATCCCAATCAAGCAGTAGCAGCAGCAGTAGGAGTAAGAATGTCCAGCAGGGGGGGAGGGGAGCAAGACTGAGGAGGGCTGGGGCAGCAAAGGAGAAAAGATCCAAAGGAAATGGTACAAAGAGAACCAAACGAAAGCCGACAATCAGGACACGAAATGCAATTACTCTAATGCATAGACAAGAACAAACTTTAACTTAAAAGTTAAATCCACGACCAATAAATGCACAGCAAAATCACTAACGTTGCATTCGCACACTCAGTGAGTAAGTAGCAGAAGTTACGGCCCTAACAGGCTTAAGTAGCCACCCCTTCTCTCTAACAACACATTAACAACTGATGCCAGTTTTGCATCACTAGCCACACAGTCTGCGAGGCAAACAACCGTTATCAAGGTGGTTCCGGAGATTCCAGAGTTTCTGGGCTGTCGACGTATCGTGGCCCTCATGGGCACCATACATCAGTCATGGGGTCCCCTGTGCTCCACCACCTCCCACATCTCTCCTGTGACCCTCTTCCACTGTCCCTTTCTGAAATGTTAATAGCCTAGCCGTCTATAAGGCCAGGAAACGAAGGACCAAAGTCAACATAGTACAGAGAACCCCGACTCTATACGTCGTCATCTATTAGTAACCAATCAGTTCCAACCTGCACAAAGATATCAACATGCATACGGCATACTAGACAAGATGGGAGTGTCGGGTTTCACAGATAGAATATCACATCTCCCCAGGGCCTGCCTCTGTAGCCAAAGCACATCATCGAGACCACTGCATGACTGTCAAGCAACGGATGCATGAATGCTCGCGGAACTGCAGCTACAGCAGCATTGTACAAACCCCGCTGTGTGGTCGAGGCCATCAGCACTGACGGACTGAGTACTTCCACACCTAAGTGTCTCAAACTATGTTCCAAACTGTGTTACAAATGTTGTACAGGGACGCTGGACCCGATTAACAGCAGGTGCACGCCCCCCACCAATGGATCGGGGCCTCCAATGACCCTACTACCCTAGGTGGGGCTGCTCATATCACCCCCCCCCCCCTAGTAGTAGAGGTCACCGGTGTTTTTTCTCCGAAAAGAAAAAAGATGTGATTGTCAGAGGTTTCACATGAGCCTGAACTGGTCACATTCATTGAACCACGCATATGTTATCGAGACAAATCAGATTCGCCCTGTGTGTATCTGGCCGCGAATAGATAGTCCTTGTTTCTGAGCATGCCCTTCAAGCGGTCGCCATTTTGTTACGCGATTCCAACTCTGGCGCGTCGTACGGCGATACACGTTTCAAAGCCTGGCCATCCTGAGTACTCTGTACCCCCGCTCTCTTGGCCTCTCCACTGAGCCTTCAGCCTGCTCATCAGGACTCCTCACTGTGTCCTCAGCCTGCCTGCAAGGACTGCTCATGCACATCTGATTCCTTTCTCCATGTTCGTCCATGGAAAGGAACCCTCGAGCGCATCTGCGCCGTCGATAAGGCTGCAGCACGAGCCATTGCCATTTATTGAGGCGCCCCCCGCCGGGATCGCGGTCGTCGTTGATGCCGCTTCCTGGCAGTGGGGAGCAACCACTCGATGCGGACGGACGGCAGAAGGAGGGACACGTTGCCAGTGGGCTGCGCGCCGAGCTCGTGAGGAACGATCCTGACCGTCCAGTTCACCTTTCCCCCGCGGTCGAGGTCGCTGCCCAGCACGTCCTTGATCGGGAACTTGATGGTCCGCGTCAGACCAGAGTGCGATCCCGACGCCGGGAAGCTGTAGAACGACGACACGTAATGCAGCCTCGTGGTTGTTTTGTCACTGTCCCGATCTGTGCCCAAGAGGTACACGTCAAAGCAGAAGGGCGACCGACAGGAGAGGTGAAACGACTCCAGGATAGCGACCGGTATCCCGACCGCTGCGACTGGCGCAGAGCTCACTCTGCGAGTGCGCGCCACAAGCGGGCAGTCGACGGGATCGCCCCTCGTGCGGGCAGGAGCCACAGAGCGCAGGACAATCGGCCACATGGAGGCTTGAGAGGAGTTCCCCCGCGGAGAGGACCTGCTTTTTCTCCCAGTGGGCAACCAGTCGTTCTCCACGTCCTCGTACTTGTACCGCAGGTTCCGCTTCGTGTCCAGCACGTCTTTGACCGAGATCGATGTGAGGACGGCGTTCTCGTCGTAGAAGACAAATCTTGAGTCCCGCCATGCAGTGTCGGGAGGATTGGATCTCCTGGCAGTCGTCGCCGTGGGTAGACGTGACCACACCCACCATAGCCTGTCGACATTGGCATGATGGGCGAAGAAGACGGGGTCGCCCGAGGCCCAGCTGAGGTTGCCCATGTTGTGGAACGGCGGAGTCTGTTTCCCCACTGCCGTGTGGATCGCATTATGACTGCCGGTCTCGATCAGTCCGCCCTGGGCRCTGCCCAAGGGTCTGCCTAAAAATAGCTCGTGCGTTTCGGCCTCGGCAATCGTTGACCTAAGCATCTCCCTGGTCGTCGCATTGCGCACCAGCGCTCGCAATCTGCGAGCGTCATGGTTTCTGTTGAGATCGAACAGCGGCGAGGACCGGGGCCGGAAGAGGAAGGGAAACTCTCTTCCCGACAGGCTGTCCCAGTTCCAGAAGAGGAGGCGGAAGTGAGGATCGCCCACCATAGCCGCGAGGATGCGCTCGTGGAAGTAGAGGTACATCCTGTGCCACGGCAAGAAGAACCAATTGCCGTGCACCTCATACTCGGGGCCGTACGCCAGGCCGCCGGAGCAATACACGCAGTGCACCAGTCGCTGCTGTTCCATGCCACGTGGGTCCTCCGGATTGCTATGCTGAAGATCCCTCATCTTTCGATACGCCATCTTCAGCTTCCTCAGGTACGCAGGGCTCTGCAGCGCCGTCTTCGCAGATCGACGCCGCCGCACGGGAATGGATGWGTTGCGCTTGAACTCTAMAGGTWCCGCYCCCTTCTTGGGCACTTGAAGACAGCACGGACTCTGYTCGCCGCATYKCCTCAGGTYGGGACCCGGAAGGGGGACCTGCTGGCTCAGCACGTGAAGGTGCACGCTGTGGAGAGGAAGAAGAACATTCACAGCAATCCCCCAAACCAGCAGCGCGAAGATCGTGAACGACAACTTGATGCTGTCGACCGCCATTTTCTGCTTTGAACCCTCACAACAACGCTCAGGTAAGTTCGGCGACGAGATCTGCGAAGCCTTGGGGCAAGGAGCTGTCTACTGCTCCGCTCCGCGATACAACTTGATCGGCTAGCTTTCTCCTCGCTACTTTCATTATATCGCAGACGCGGGCATTTTCATGTTGTTCCGACCACAAACCCAGCGTCAATCTCCGGTTTTTTTTTTTTTTCTTCTTTTTTTTCTTTTTCTTTTTTATTCTTCTGAAATATGAAAAAGGGGTCATGCCACCGAAGGGACCCGCGAACAAAGAAGAAATGAGAAACAAATTATAATGAGAAATGAGAAAATCAAATTAAGAGAAGTTACTGCACCTATGCACACAACCTCCAATTTGTCTCCAACCACCGGGGCCAAGTCCCACTGGCAGCGTTGAGTTACCTCAACGCCTGAATCTGGAGGCTTTTGCGGAGATGTGCAGTTCAGAAAACTCAATACCATTTTTGCACATCTCCGCAAAAGCGTCCAGATTCAGGCGTTGAGGTAGCTCAGCGCTGCTAGTGGGACTTGGCACCCGCCGCCCCAAAACTACTTCGTTACAGAATCACTACCATCCCGCACCTTAAGAAAAAAAAAAAAAAACTACCATCCCGCACAGCAGTACTGAAACCCAAAAACAAAAAAAGAAAGAAACACAAAAAAAATCAAAACGAGTGAACCAGCCATACAATCTACGAAACAGAGAGAGAGCGAGAGAGAACCAATAACCGAAAGTGATCTTTTTTTTTTTTTTTTCGGTAAAGGCTAACCCGAGCCAACTGTCATGCAATTGACAGCGTAGCAGTCCAAGGCACATCCTTCCGAAGGTTATAAAAAAAACAATTGACAGCGTGTGCGGCTCGCCGTCTGTTCACTCGTGCCCCTATAGCCAGAGCGTCAATCTCCGTTTGGTATTCCCAAAGAAACGGGAGCGAGAGAGCCGAGCGTCTTCCGCCAATAAAACATTCCGTCGTTATAGCTGTCCTTGCGGCAATTTTCAGTCTAGGTACAGGGATAATGACCTTGCTCTCTATGCGGAGGAATGTAGCCGAGAAGGAAGCGTACAGCTGTATCTGGGGCAACTTTCAGTCTAGATACAGGGATAATGACCGTACTAATCTCCGCCAATAGAACATTCCGTCGTTATAGCTGTACTTGGGGCAATTTTCAGTCTAGGTACAGGGATAATGGCCCTGCTCTCTATGCGGACGAAGGCAGCCGAGAGGGAAGCGTACAGCTGTATTTGGAGCACCTTTCAGTCTAGATACAGGGATAATGACCGTACTCATCTAGTCGGACGGGGGAAGAAGAAGGTAGCAGAGTGGGAAGCGAAAGCGGCAATTTTCATCATGCTTTGAATGTATGAACCTGACTGCTATTACGCCCAGGTTCATGTTTTCCGAGCACAAAGAGAGCATAGGTGCCGTCTCTGTGGTGGAGGGAGTCGACACTAATACTCACACAACCGTCTTCCCCCGAACATAACGCACCCTCATTTTGCCTGTACCGGACCGAAAAAATAGCTTCTTTACATTCATGATCAGGGTGCGTTATGCTCGGGGGAAGACGGTAGCACTTTCTAAAATGCATATGACCACAATCACCGCCCGATGAGAACCTATCTGACTGCGAGCACGTCGACGTGAGCTTTGTTAGGAAGGTCCTGGTGTGAGTATGCCCTACGTATGTCCCGAAGGACTTGCATCAGTGTGTACCATCCTTCACCCCCGATCATAACGCGTACTCAGTATGAATGCAGCACTGGCGGAGCTTTGTTTCCGTCAAGTGAAATAAAACGAAATTGACGCTTGTGATAAGGTGCACCGGCTGCCAATTCGGGATAATTTATAATTATCGTCCTCATAATTGTATTTAAATTATAAAGTTTAAATACACAGATCTCTTCCAGATAAAATAGGAAAAAGCTAGGCCGAGGATGATGCCAGATTGCTCAGAAGTGAGTCAAAAAGGTGGGCCGCAGGCCCGCACACCGCGGGAAAATCAAGGGCGGCGGGACCGCTTCGTCAAGACAAGCGAGGGAAAAGACTCGACCTCTGAGGACCTGACCCCCTGTGTGATGTGCGCGCAGGTTCGCGTTTGCGATGAACGCAGCGAGCAGCCGGGGGCTGGAAGGCCCGGCACGAGAGGGCTCACAAGCTGTCTTGGCTGGGCCGTCGCCTGTGACTTATACTGTCGCAGGGCAGATCAGTGGGACCGGACGGGCCAGCGAGGCCATACTGCAACCTGGGTAAGTCCTGTCACCTCCGCACTGGAGCCCGTAGGTCTTTGGTGAAGGCCAGTGTGCCGTGGATGGTGTAGGTCAAGGGAGTTGTCAATTCTGCAGTCCGTAGATTGAGTAGATCTGTGAAATCGAGAGCGGGAGTCCCAACTGGAAATTTCCCAGTCCCGATCCAACTGTCCTTTCGTTGGTTTTGTTGATGTCGACCGGGGATAACCACCAAAACTGAATCTGCTCCGCTAGCCTTGGGCGCAACCAGATGCGCAGGCACTGGCATAATGTTCCACAGGTCTCTTTCAGATAAAATAGGAAAAAGGTAGGCCGAGGATGATGCCAGATTGCTCAGAAGTGAGTCAAAAAGGTGGGCCGCAGGCCCGCACACCTCCTGAACCGCCCAACTCCCTCCATCGTCCCGCAAGTGACATCGTCGTCTTGCAGGGAATGGTGGAATGAACGACTGAGCGATGGCGTCTGGAGACAGAAGCGAAGCACGCCTGAAATTGAAGGAGGATACGAAGCTGGCCTTGAGTGGAGTAGCGCCCTGGTTGGTGAATAAGGAGCTGGTCGGCGATGGAGAGGCGGGATGAAGAAACTCCCTCTTGCTTTGAACGAGTGGTTGGAACGAAACAACGTTGGGAGAGATTGCATGACCTGTAATGACGTGGATGTGTTGTCCTTTGTGAGCAGTCAGTCGCTTGTTGAGGTGGAAGGTCGATGCCAAACTTCAGATGCTGAACGTGTCCCGTTGGTATCTCCTTCCACTGTAGATGCTGCGGTAAATTGCTTGAGTGCTTGCTTTCGGTTGCTTGGAAGGGATGGAGGGAAGGATCCATGTCAAAGTAGTAGAGTGCGAACATTTCGTAAGGCTTATCGGGAGTATTCATTGCAGAGGGGTGTTGTTGAAGAGTCGGCCCGTCATTTGAGGTGGCTGAAGTTGAGGAAAGTGTTGGAGTATATTCGAGAGAAGGTGAAGGTGTTGAAAGGATATGTGGAGGCTCAGGCTTATCGTGATGGGGCAGCATTCTTGTATTTATGGGAGCGTTGGCAGCGATGCGGCGAAGGGCTAAGATTGCAATACAAGGAGATTGATTTTGGGCAGCGGGTGGTTCGTCCGGGGTATACAAAGACAGATCGTCATGGTGGTAGATTTATGATAAGACTACGAAAGCCAGTAGAAGGTGAGGAAACGTTTTGGGGTTGGCTACCAGAATTAATGAGAAGTTATGATCGGATAGGGCAAGATGTGCGGCGGGGTTACTTATTCCGTTCTATGCGTGGTGATGGTCTCGTGAGTGGGGGTGATTTTAATAAACGGATAGTGGTCATAGTTTTCGGATAGGAGGTGTTCAGGCTGGAATTGAGGAGGGTTGGAGTCTGGGGGAGACGATGCGACAAGGGACGTGGAGCAGTATACGAACGTTTATGAGATATGGGTATGGAATGTGGTGAAGGTGTTGAAAGGATATGTGGAGGCTCAGGCTTATTGTGATGGGCAACATTCTTGTATTTATGGGAGAATTGTTAGCGATGCGTCGAAGGGTTAAGATTGCAATACAAGGAGATTGATTTTGGACAGCGGGTGGTTCGTCCGGGGTATACAAAGACAGATCGCCATGGTGGCAGGTTTATGATAAGACTACGAGAGTCAGTAGAAGGTGAGGAAACGTTATTGGGTTGGCTACCTGAATTAATGAGAAGTTATGATCGGATAGGGCAAGATGGTCCCGTGAGTGGGGGTGGTTTTCATAAACAGATAGAGAAGTGGTTTGAAGAGGCAGATGTGTTTGAGGGTGAAAGTGGTCATGGTTTCCGGATAGGAGGTGTTCAGGCTGGAATTGAGGAGGGTTGGAGTCTGGGGGAGATGATGCGAAGAGGGGCGTGGTGCAGTATAGGAACGTTTATGAGATATGGGTATGGAATCTGACGAGGTCGGAAGAGAAGGAATGAGGCGAGTTCAGGTGGAAACGAAGATTGTTCTCAGACCGAGGAGCGCGGGGTTGGGCGTGCTGAAGTGGACCCTGGGACTACGGAGGCAGGAGAACTCGGATTCGGGGATGGTGAAACGATTATGGATGTTTAGTGAGAGGATGCGGGGATACCAAGGGGTACGTTGAGAGAAAGGAAGTATGAGGAGATAGTAGGCTGAACTGGCAAGCATTTTGGAAATTGTGATGTGGAGGAGTGCGGTTGGTGAGAAAATTCATCTATAAGGGGATGACGGGAGTAAGTTCCAATATAGTGATAGGGCGCCAATCTGGGATGTCTTGGTTGACCAATTCCTGGATATGAAGGTTGAACATGCGTGATGATAATCAGAGGCGAATAGATCCATTATTGATATTCCTATTTGTGAGAAGATGTTGACTCTCAGATGGCTAACCAAACCCCAATCTGTATTATCTTCTATTTTAGAGATGGAATCGGCAATGTGTTGAGTGTCATAGGTATCAAGACAGGGTTAAGTGGTGAGTCAAAGGTGATTAGGATTGAAGCAATGTCTCGCAACCAGGGGTTGAAGGAATGATCGGTTGATTTCATCCTTTGGAGCAAGGCTATAGCGGCTTGACTGTCTGAGTATAGTCTGATGGAGGCAGAGAAAATAAGTTGAGGATGAGTTGCGGCGAGAAGTCTAAATGTTTCTAGTATAGCAAAGTTCCCTGCGAGGAGGCGAGTAGGAAGTCAGGAAGGCATTGGTTGAAAGTGATAGGTTGGTGGTGGAGTGGGTACATAATTGCGGCTATTTGGGTGGCAGAGGCGTCGATGAATATGGTTAGGGATGGTGGTCGGATAGTCCAAAGTCTTCCAGGAAGATGGGGGAGGTGTTG